AGAGAGCTTTTTTTTTTTTTTTTTTTTTTTAAGTAGACAATGGTAGTGAGAAAATGCTTTGGGAAGGTAATTTAAGTAGGTAATTTAAGTTGGAAATTAGAATTTTCTTTGACTTTAGGTTAATCATCCTTTCCTCATATAAACAGATAAAGCAACACTTCTAATTAAAATTAAACGTACAGGGCCAGGGATGTGGCTCAGTGGTTCTACTGCCTGCCTCACAAGCACAAGGGTCCAAGTTCAATCACTGGTACCAAAATGAAAACAAAAACAAACAAACAAAAGTATACAGCCTTTTGATAAGGATATTATATTCTCAATTAAATACAATTTTCTTCATAACATTCAAATCTATAAGACACTTTAAGTCCAAAACTCCATTTCAGTAAGTTATTTTGTATATTATAGAATGTAAGCTGTTTTTTTGAGGTGCTAGGAATTGAAACCAGAGCTTCACACATGCCAGGCAAGCACTCTATCACTGAGTTACACCTTTACCCCATGTATATTGTAGAAATAATTTAGATTATAAATATTTATTACATGGTAAATACATTATTTTCAGATCCAACTCACTAAGATATAAGGTATTCCACTTAAGACTGTATTGTTGACTTTGCTCTCTATAAATCTATTTCAAAAAAAGCACAGAAAATTTAAATTATTCATCTCTCTCCTTTTTTTATTTTTATTTTTTATTTTTGTTTTGAGACAGACAGCGTCTCACTATGTAGTTGAGACTGACCTGGAACTCACTATGTAGCCCAGGCTGGTCTCAAACTCACAGCAATCTTCCTGCGTCAGCCTCCTGAGTGCTGGGATTACAGGTGTGTGCCACCATTCCTGGCTTAAATTATTCATCTTAATGAAAGAATTTTATTTATTAATTACAAATACTGAGAAAATTATTGTATGAGCATTATATAATAACCATTGACCTTTTAGATCTAGCCTTCTGAAACATAAGCCTTTTAATTAAATTTAAGTTATTTCTAGAATGGCATAAGAATTTTCTATACTTACTTGCATATATTCTGAAAGTTCAAAATAGGCTCTTCCAATTTGGCACAATACCCAACCAGTGTTGTAGTGGTGAGAAGGTAGGTGGCTCAAAATATTTATAGCTTCTTTGCAGTTGTATGAACACAAAGCTAAATAACCTTTGCCCATTTCACGAAGAAGGCTCATCAAACCTTCTAGGAGAAAACAATATATTAACCAAAGGAGAAAAACAAAAAAAGCAATTTTCTAGAAAGGCTAACTCCAACTTATCCATTAAAAATTCTAACATCTAGCTAGAAAACGATGAAGGCAATGTAATGAACTTTAAACAATGTATTTAAGTACATAATAAAATCATAAAAATAAAATACAAAGATGATATTAAGCATTTAAAACAGACCTGCTGCTGCTTTTTGTAGATTAAAAGCCTGGATCTGAGGCGTGATTGTGGATATTTTCCCTTCTGAAATGATGGAAGAGTCCAATTTTGTAATTTCCAGGCTATCATTTATGTTAGGTTGAGTTATTCCTCCTTTGTTAGTTTTACTTTTTGTTTTTCTATTTGGGATTTTAGGTGGAAACTTCATTTTTAATTTTTTGCTATTTTCCTGTAAAAGGTAATAAAATTCCACACTTGTTACACTCATATATTTTAAACTTCTCCCTCAATCCTTTGTCAACTATTAAATATAATTTTTTAACACTGAACAGAAAGAAACAATGTCATTTTTTAATAAAAACAATCATACAATCTTTATTGCCAGTGCAGTTAATAACATAAGGGCAATCAAATCAATATAAAAAAATGTTTTACAAATACTCCCAGGGCAAATCACTTAAACAGCTGCATTTTTCACATATCATCATTGCCACCTCACTTCACTGCTGTCTTCAGAATTCATCGATTATTTCTAGTTGGAGACACTTTGTAGCAGAGTAATAAAGCATGATCCGACCCAGTTGTTTTCTTGACTTTGTTTTAGAACGCATTTCTTCTGCATCATCTAATACAAGATTCATGTACTCATCAAAGCCAATAATACAGCCCTCTATCCACATATTCTCTTGTTCATAGAGCCACACCTGAATTCGGGATCTATTTTGCAAGTATCTGAAGATGAGATTGATGGGCTGCATCATCACCTTCTGCACTTTCTGGCCCTGGCCCCAGTACCCCAATTTCACAAAAGTAGATATAAATGTTCAATGTTGATTAATTTGTATTTTTCTCAAAAGAAATTTTATAAAAACAAAGGTCTTCAAATTCATTTAATTTAATTTTTTTTTTTTTTTGGTACCAGCCATTGAACTTAGGACCTTGTGTTTGCAAGCCAGGTGTGGTGCCACTGAGATAAATCTCTGGCCCCTCATTTGATTTTAAATGCAACAATTCTGAACACAAGATGCATTAACCAATAGTGGGTGAGTCTGCATTAAGTATTGCTCTTTACACTTATGATTTTAAAATGAAAAAATGTACAATATTAATTGTAAAATGATAAATCATGATACTGATGATCTAGATATGTCGCCAGGTGTGGTGCCACTGAGATAAATCTCTGGCCCCTCATTTGATTTTAAATGCAACAATTCTGAACACAAGATGCATTAACCAATAGTGGGTGAGTCTGCATTAAGTATTGCTCTTTACACTTATGATTTTAAAATGAAAAAATGTACAATATTAATTGTAAAATGATAAATCATGATACTGATGATCTAGATATGTCATAATAATCATCCATCATATCTCGCAATGGATCAGGAAAATTTAATATAGGCATAATGAAGCCCTCTATTTTAAATTTACAAAATAATTCACAAGATGGCAAGAAAACAGAATTTCCACTTATTCTTTCTACATTAATAGCATGTGATGTAATCATAACATAGCACCATATCCAGAAAACTGAAATGTAATACTATGAACTGAACTCCAGACCTCATTTAGATTTATATTTTTTGTTTTATCTTTTTTGCAGTACTAGGGATCAAACTCAGGACCTTGCACTTGCGAGGTAGGCACAGTGCCACTGAGTGAAATTCCAGCCCTTTAGAATTCAGTTTTTATATGAACTCTTTAGCATATGTGTGTACAGTTCTCTGTAATCGTATCACATGAACAGATCTGTGTAATTAACCATCACATGTACCCTTTGGACTATTCTGCTACTCCATAGAAATCCTTTGTGGCATGTTTTAATATCCATATTCTCTCCCACCTTCTCTCTAAATAACTATTTATATGCTTTACTACATATAGTTTTGTCATTTCAAAAATGTTATGTGATATTTACCAAAGAACTAAGAAAATAAACAAAAATTATACAGAACCTTCTTTTAAAAATTATTTAAAAAATTCTAAATAGTCTCTATATATAGTTATTAGAGATGAAATACTCAATGAACAGGCAATTTAACCGAGGAAGCATAAAGTAAGTGTGACATTCAGAAATTTTTCAGTTACCTTAGTTGTAGAACTGTCACTGGTAAAAAGTCGGGAACTTCTTCGAGGCAGTGCATTTGGGGGCGATGTGATAGTGGGACTCAATACCTGAGGTGTTGTACTAAGAGAAATTACAAAAGAATACATTTATTTTTTACTCAGTTTATGGCCATTTTTCTCAGCTCAACCATATGAAAAAATATACATTCAAAGCTGGGTTCTGTGGTATACATCTGTAATCCCAACTACTTAGGCTGAGGTAAGAGAATAATAAGTTCAAAGCCAATGTGGACAACTTAGCAAGACTCTGTCTCAACATAAAAATAAAAAGTGTAAAAAAAAAAAAGTGTAAAATTTCCTTGGGTTCTATCCCTCAGACCGGGGGAGAAAAAAGCATTCAGCATGTAAGTACTTTAAAAATGGTATAGCATAGCATAGATCTTCACTCTAAATGAAACTAGTCATTTGAACTTTTTTTTTTTTTTTTTTGGTTTTTTGAGACAGGGTCTCACTATGTAGTTGAGACTGACGTGGAACTCACTATGTAGCCCAGGCTGGTCTCGAACTCACAGTGATCCTCCTGCCTCAGCTCCCTGAGTGCTGGGATTACAGGCGTGTGCCACCATACGTGGTAGTCATTTGAACTTAATCCATAAAAATATGATGGATCAATATACGATCCATTTATAAATCAATTCACATTTGTAACTACACAAAGTTAGAGAAAAAGAAAAGATAGTTGGGCATGGATTATTCAAATAGAGGTTCCGATCAACAAATAAATACCATTAGACCAAAAGGAGAAATCATTTCCCTATAAATTCAAATATCAAAGGTTTATTCTCCTTAGAACTACAGGACTCTAAAGCCACTTGGGTACATTTTTACTTTAAAAGGTAAACCCTAAGATATAAAAATTCCAATCTTAGCAGGCAAACTTCAAACCTGAAATGACCTAATCGAGCATTAAAACTAAACTGTTAATAATTTATGGGGAATCTACTAGTTACCTAAGTCAGGGATAAAGTTTCTAAAAATAAAAGACATGCTGACCAGTCAATAAAGCATATCCAACGGTATTCTTAATCCTTTCAAAAGATATCTGAGGGCTGGGGATTCAGCTCAGTGGTTCCACTGCCTGCCTTGTAAGCGCAAGGTCCTGAGTTCAATCTCTAGTACCAAGGGGTGGGGAAAAAAAGATACTGAGACCAAGTTGACCAAACATTTTCTTTATTTTCAAACAGGGCCTGACTATGTGTAGTCCACTTTTCACATGCTGGAATTACAAGCATGTGTCACCACAGCTGATCAATTGTTTTTTTTTCCCCTGGTACTAGGGATCAAACTCAGGACCTTGCACTTGAGAGGCAGGTGTGGTGCCTCTGAACTAAATCCCCGGCCCTTATTTTGTTTTTTTTTTTGAGATGGGGCCTTGCTTTGTAGTCCAGCCTGGCCCTGAACTCACTACGTAGCCCAGGCTGGCCTCATACTCATGGAGATTCTCCTACTTCAACCTCTGGAGTGCTAGCATTATACGCGTGTGCCATTGCACCTGGCCCAAATTCATTTTCAAAAGTACAATAATCTGTGTTTGGTAGGAACGATTATTGTAGCATTTATACTACAAAAGTTATATTTTGTCAATATGATTACCTAATTATAGAAAAAAGTTTTGTGAAGATGTGGAAAGAATTACATTGCATGGTGCAATTTATAGGAAGACTACATGATGGTAACAATCTTGTAGAAGTATACAAAAGAAAAATGTTAAGTGTTCTGTGGGAAGGTTACAGAAGACAAACTCTTCTTAAAATTTTTGTTAGAGTTCTGTTAGCTGTACAGCTCTACCTGATATAAGAAACAAAAAATGCTCAAAGTCTGAGGCACCAGAAAACTGAAGCAGAATAATGTAATTAAGAAAAGATAGGTATTTCATGCAAATTGAATCATTGTTTTATGGTTTTGAAATGTGTTCTGGTAGTTAACAAAAAATACCTTGGAAAGTTGATAGAAATGAGTTTTAGCCAATAATTTATGGGCAAAAAATGATGAGGCTAGTCATGCTGGGAGGATCTACCATGTGATTAGAGTGAGGGCTTTAAGACAGGTAACTTCAGCCTGACTTCTTCTAGGAAGGGCAAGATGGCTGATAACTGAGTTCATTCATGTGCCCAATGATTACATCAATCAGGCCTAAATCATTAGGATTAAACCCCCATAAAAACTCTGAACATCACAGCAAACATACTAATGTATTTTAAGGATGATGTGTCCTGATTCCATGTGAAAGATGCAAAAATCTGTTTTGGTATCCTCCAGAGACCTTACTCAGGTCCCTTAATTTATCTGTATCCTTTAGAACAAAATTGTAATGTTACATAGCACATTCCTGGATTGTGTGAATTATTCTACCAAATTACTAAATATGAGGGGGTACTGGGAACACTCAAATATGTATTGAGTTAGTTAGAAAGGGGATGGCCAAGTGTGCCTGTCCTCAGTTCAAACCATTCTTATTGGGGAACTATGACCTTAACCTGTGGAGTCTGCTCAGACCACGTATTAGCTTCAGAATATTATTATAAAGAATCCATACAAATCTAGGCAAAGAACTACTCAAAAGAACAGGCAGATCAATTCCTGGAGCTCACCCCTGGCTAGGAATAGCTTACATTATCAATAGGCAGAGGGAAGAAAACTCACAACTCAACAGACCATTTTCAAGAGCACTCAATGGGTATTGCCTCAATAGTTGGGCAAACTTACTCTAGACCAATGGCTGCTTTGTACTACCTAAAAAAATGTAAAAACAAGACTTGAAAGGATCAAGCTGTTTCCAGTAACTGCATTCCAGAGAACAACTTAAAAATACCTAAAAGAAGAGAGGAACCCTACAAAAATCCAGCAAATTTTATCATAACTTGCATATAATCTACACATATTAAGCATATAAGCGAGCAGGAATATATAACCTATACTAGAAAAGAAAAACCAATCAATAAGAAATAGAACAACAAAAAACACACACACAGGAACAGACTTGGTAGGCAAGAACATTAAAAGAACTAACAACATATTATATACATTTAAAAAAGTAGAAGCATGCACAAGAAGACAGCCATCTTTTAGAGATGAAAAATCAACCTTCTAGAGATTCAAAAAAGCAAAACAATACAAGAAAAACAATGTGTAAGAGTAGCAGATGTTACGGTTGTTTTTATGTTCCCCAAAATGCTCAGTGTGTTGAAGGCTTGGTTACTACCTGATGGGCTTTTTGGGAAATGATTCCATCATGAAGGTTTTAGTTTTGTCTGTGGATTAATCCATTTATAAGAAGAGAGATTAATTTGAACTCATGGCAATAAATAAATATTATAAAAAATAAAACACAGAGGGCTGGGGATTTAGCTCAGTGACACCGAACCTGGCTCCAAGTGCAAGGTTCTGAGTTCAATCCCCGGGACCAAAATCAATCAGTCAATCACTCAATCACAGCGAGGGAAAAGGCTTAAAAAAAGAACATAGTATATACTAGGGAAGTGTGGACAACTTCAAGCAATTTAATATACTTGGAGTTCCAGAAGGAGAAAGGAACATGAATATAAAAAGGATCTGAAGGAACAATACAGCTGTGCATTATGATGTACACCTGTGATCCCAGTATTCTAGGAGGCTATGGCAGGAGGATCTTAAGTTTGAGCCCAGCACTGAGGCAGGAGGATCTCAGATCTCGCCATAAATTGGAGGCCTGCCTGGGCTGTTCAGTGAGTTTAAGGTTAGCCTGAACTACATAGTGAGACTCAGTCAAAAAAAAAAAGGAAAGAAAGAAATCCAGATATGGAGACACACAATAAAGATAGCTGAGAGAAGTAGGTGCTGAATTATTCTGTCACAAGCTCAGAATGGCATGAAAGGATCTTCCCTCAAAAGCTCTGGAGGAACCCTGGCCCTGCCAACACCTTGATTTCAAATGTATGGGCTTAAAAATTGTGAGAAACTGTTGCAACATGAGGTGTAGGAAAAAAGAAAAAAAGCAAAGAAAAATGAGAAAAAAAATTCTGTTGTTTTAAACCACCCACTTCTTTGTACAAGTTGACTGTATTTTATCCAAAAAAGGCTCGGGACCAGAAGTCAGAGATTTCAGATATTTGGATTTTGTAGTATTTGTATAATAGACTTTATGGTTCACTATTATTCCTAATTAAAAAATTTGAAATCTAAACTTCCAAAGCCTGAAACTTTGTTATGCTGGCATTCAAAAAAATTTCAGATCTCATGTTGGCATAGTAGCCCATGCCTGTATTTCCAGCTACTCAAAAGACTGGGGCAGAAGAATCACAAATTTGAGGCCAGCTTCAGAAATTTAAGACATTCTGTCTCAAAATAAAATAATAAGGGCTGGGGGTGTCAGTGGAAAAGCACTTGCCCAGCATGCATAAAGCCCTAAATTCATTCTCCAATACTGAAAAAAAAAAAGTTTCAGGTTTCAGGGCAGTTCAAATGTTTGTATTAGGGGTGTTCAACCTGTATCACGGCAGCTTTAAAAAATGAGGGCCAGGGATGTGGCTCAGTGTTGCCAAGAACAACGTCAAGTTTGATCACTGGTAATGGGGGGAAAAAAAGACAACAAATCCAGGCAATTTGGCAGATAAAACGGAATCAACAATACAAACAATTATTATTATTATTGTTTTGTGGTACCAGGATCAAACTCAGGGCCTTGCACTTGCAAGGCAGGTACAGCCACCGAGCTACATCCCCGGTCCCAATTGAAAATTAATAGGTGATACTTACTGTAGAAAGTCAGTATAGTTGTTTAGTTATATATTCTCTAGAATTAACACATACTCAGCTTATGTAATATTGCTCTGTAGGAGGCTACAAGTTCTTTGTTATAACAACCTCATGCAGACACTATTTGCAAGTTGACACTCAAGATGACTCCACCCTCACGTTATGAACACTGAGGGCTTTTAAATTTTGTTTTTTGGTATCGGGGATTGAACTTGGGACCTGTGCTTGTGAGGCAGGTGGTGGAACCAGAGCTAAATCCCCAGCCCAAAGACTTTTTTTTTTGGTTCAGGATCAAATTCAGGCCCTTGTGCTTGAAGCAAAGCAGGTGGCAGAACCACTGAGATAAATCCCCGGCCTTGAGGCCTTTTAGGTAGTAAGAGTATGTGCATATTTGTGTTTTCATGTTTAAGACTGTCTTAAAATTTCTGTATTTGAAGATTTATTTGAAGGTTAATCTTATGGTCTAGATATTGAACTGCATGCTGGGGGGAGGGGTGAATTAAACCTATTTGATCTGCAGAAAAAGTCATGTGAAGAAAATTATTATCTTCATCATCATCATCATCATCTTTTTTTTTTTTTCGAGACAGGGTCTTGTAGTCCAGGCTAGCCTTGAACTCTTGGTGATCTTCCTGTCTAAGCCTCCTGAGTGCTAGGATTAAAGGTATGCGTCATCATGTTCAGCCAAGAAAAAATTTTTAAGAATGTTTAGAATGATTATTTTAAACAAACCCATGAGGCAATTAAAGTAAATTAAAAGGCAATTTTGACTATTATCTTATTTGCATTGTGAGACAACTAAAAATTCCACTAGTCTTTTCAGGGACTTTCAAATTTTACATATTCAAAATTTAGAGCAGTTACTCTAAACTTTTGGAATCAATACTTGCTTAAACTGAAGAAGTATCAAATTTTACAGCAAGAAAGGAAGAACAATACCAACTGATGACATCATAATAATACCTTGTTTGTGGACCAGAACTTTGCGTTTGTGCAACAAGAATTGGAGTGACCTCACGACTATTTCCACTTTGTGAGAAGACAGACTTTGTCCCAGTTTGGCCGATTCTGGCAACAGACTGTAAAACACAAAAGTTTAAGGTTTATGATTACAGATTGTACTGTAAATGATGAAAGACGTCATGATACTTCCATACATTTTCTCATGGAAGAGTTCATAAGATATAATGTTATTTTAAAACACAAACTATTAATAACATTATTTCTGTCATTATTGTTATATTAATATGATCATCAACTTCCACATTTTAATCAGCATTTTCACTTCGCTATTAACCTTTTGTTGTTCACTGTGGTTTAAAAGAAAAGGCTCAAGGAGCCAGGGATTTAGTTCAGTGGTTCCACCACCTGCCTTGCAAGTGCAAAGTCCTGAATTTAATCTCTAGTACTCAACAAACAAACAAAAGGAAAAGGCTCAAAATTTCAGAAGCTATTCCTTTTATCTCACTACGATGATCTCCATTTATCACATACCTTTTCTATTTGGTGCTAAGTTCTAAAAATTTTTAAGACAGATTCGATTCTCATGACTTATAGTTTATTCCTTAAAATTTTTATTAGTACATTTCCCGTATATAAGATTTGTAATTTAACTTTCTATACCTAAAAAAACAAGACAGTAGGATTTTATACTCTTTGGGAATTTAACAGTTCAAAGAAGTTAAGAGAACTAGATTTAAAAAAAAAACACACAAAAAATCGATAAATTTCCAAATTCTTCTTTTTTTTCCCTCGGTACTGGGGATAGAACTCAGGACCTTGTGTTTGTGAGGCAGGAGCAGTGCCACTGAGCTAAATCCCCAGCCCTACTTTCCAAATTCTAAGGATACTGCTCTTTATAGTTTTTGCTTCTTTAGGTTTTCAATCTTCTATTAACTGGTTTCTGTTCTCTTGGAAGAAAAAAAAAAAAGCTTGCTTCTTTTGTGTTCTCCAATTTATCATTTCTATTCATTTTCACTACTTAATATGCAATACTTACTCATACTGATCTATGATATTAATAGTTTTTAACTGCTGGATAATGTTCTTTAAAATTTAAGGTTATCTTGATATGCTGAAATATAATTCTCAAATTGTGTTATTATAAATATTTGCTAATAATCGTTTTTCCACCAGATATGAAGTTCTCCTTTTAGTCTTTCCTGCATTCGGTATCAACTGTTATCCTTCCTTTTTGAAACTTTGTGTAACTTCTAAAATAATACACTATCTTGATTATTTATCCTCCCATTTCACTTGTTGGCTTGTTTTCCTTCTAGTTTTTAAAATTAGGTATACTCTGTATTCCTTAGCTACTTTCCTCTCCAAGAGAAACAGTTACTATGACTTTCCCATAATGAATGCTGGGACAGTTATTATATCTACTGTCAGATATATATTCCTTTGACCTATGACTGACTTTCCACTGAATATTTCAGTCTCAACTACTACTATTTCAAAATAAAACTTTACAATCCTTTTTCCTGCTCCCCAAATTGGGACCTATATAATTACTCAAGGGACAAAGTTAATTCTTTTTTTTTAATCAAAGAACTATGAGGGCTAGCTAGGGATTTAGTTCAGTGGTGTCATGCCTGCCTCGCAAGCTCAAGGTTCTGAGTTCAAACCCCAATGCCCAAAAAACCCAACAGAGCAAAACAAAAAAAAATATGCACTACATTCACTGCTGGGCCTGATACTTCTAGCTAATACTGCAAGCAGACTTACACAAGTAACTTTTCTCCAACTGTCTTATAACATGGTAAGAACAGAATAGAGACAGATGATGAGACAGTAGGTGGCATTTATTATTTGGGCACTACATCATTTATTTTTGGGTTGCTATAGCTCTTCTGGTTTTGGCCTACTTTACATAGAATGCTACCATTCTACCTCATAATAGAAATAAACTAATTCCCCAATTATAGCTCACTCCTCTAACACTGTAACAGGAGATAGTTCACTACATTTATTTACTGATTTTTGAGATATGGTCTCATTATGTAGTTCAGGCTAGTCTTGAACTCACTATGTGGCTCAGGTTGGCCTTACATTTGTGGCAATCCTTCTGCCTTAGCCTCCCAAGTGCTGGGATTACCGGTGTACACTACAATGTCCAGCTTTTTTTTTTTTTTTTTTTTTGGAGACAGGATCACTTGCTACATAGCTCAGGCTAGTCTCAAATTTGAAGTGATCCTCCTGCCTCAGCCTCCTGAGTGTTGGAATTACAGGTGTGCATCACCATACCTGGCTTAGTTCTAAACTATTTTTTCTGGTACTGGGAATCAAACTTGGGACCTTGTGTTTGGGAAGCAGGTAGCAGAACCACTAAGCTAAATTCCTGGTAGTTCTAAACTTTGAAAACAATAAGGTTTAAAACAATTCTTAATTTATTTTTCAGTTCCTTTTTATTACTCTTGGAGTTCCCATTACCACTTACTAAGAAGCTATTCTAGATTGGAATTTTTGCAGAATGATATTTACGAGTAAAAGACTAAAAAAAAGCATATTTCTAGGACAGTAAATGACCAGCATCTGTTATTTATGTATTAATATGACTTATTTAGTTTTCATTTTTTTTTTCTTTTGGAAAGAAGGTATCATTCTATAATCCAGGTTGGCCAGGAACTCACTATGTAGCCAGACCAAGCTGACCTTGAATCCTGCATCAGACTCCCAACTGATGGGTTTACAGGGGTACACCAATACATCCAGAAATAGTTTTCACTTCTTAAACATATTAAGCACGGCAGTATACATTTTAAACACATAATTTAACTGTCACAGACGACAGCACCACAAATAATGCATTGTCATATACCTATATATAAAAAAATTATTAAAAGAGCCTCAAGAAATTTATTGCCCTATTAATAAAGATACTATAAAATATTTTCACTTTTACTACCTATCTATGAGGATCCAGCCAGAATATCTTATCAAAATATCTGAGGTCAGGTATGGTGGCACATGCCTGTAATCTCAGAATTTGGAAGGCAGCAGGATCTTGAGTTCAATTTCTTTAGTTGATCTTGAGTACCAAGTTCAAGGTCAAACTGAGCTACACATTGAGACCCTATTTAAAAAAACAAAAGGAAAGGATAACAAAAACCCAAGATATACTGGGTGTGGTGGCACAAGCCTATAATCCCAGCATGGAGGCTGAGGCAGGAGGATCACCATGAGTCTGAGACCAGCCTGGGTTACACTGTGAGTTCAAGGCCAGCCTGGACTAAGTAATGAGACCTTGTCTCAAAAAGCAACCCCCACCCCTTTGTACCAGGGATCAAACTCAGGTCCTTGTGCTTGTGAGTCAGGCACCAGCACCATTGAACTAAATCCCTGGCCCTCCCCACAAAATTTTTTAAAAATTAAATTTAAAAAAACCCAAGAAATATCTGGCTTACCTGGGCAAATTCTTTTCACATTCTCAGTGTTATTAAGAAAACAAGGGTTAGGAGCTATAGCTCAGTCAGTGGTACAGTGCTTTTTTAGCATTATGCACTAAACTCTAGCTTTGATCTATGATATTGGAAAAAACAACCCATAATAAAAGAGACAGGCATAGTAGTACATACTTGTAACCCGGCTACTTAGCAGGTTGAGGCAGGAGGACCACAACTTTGAGTCCAGCATGGGATCCTTTCTCAAAATTAAAATAAAAAGGAGAAATCTATGATAGGAAAAAACAACCCATAATAAAAGAGACAGGCATAGTAGTACATACTTGTAACCCGGCTACTTAGCAGGTTGAGGCAGGAGGACCACAACTTTGAGTCCAGCATGGGATCCTTTCTCAAAATTAAAATAAAAAGGAGAAAGAATACTATATGGTATAGCTCAGCACTCCCTGGGTTCAATTCCTAGCACTAGAAACAACAAAACCTATGCACACAGTTGTGGGAACTACTAAAAATTATGACAGACATTATTTAATTAGCTTTACAGACTGGAATTTTAAACACGTTTTGCTAAAAAATACCAAAATTGCATTTTACATGGAAAATACCTTTTTTGTAGGGGCTCCGGTAGATGGCACGTCAATTACAGACGGTGTATTAGTGTAGTTTTGTAAATAGGATCCATCTCCAGGACTTGAGGTTTCTAATGGCAAAATCCCAAAACTGAGAAGAGGTTGAAATCAAGGTGTCAAAAAGTCATCAAGGCATATATAAAGCAGCAGTATACTTAAATTAGAAGGTCTAAAAGGAAGAGAATGGCAAATCAGTCTGGGGGCAGTGAGGACCTGAGGGGCAGATTAAAAATAAACTGAATGTAGACTACTCCACCCTCCATAGTTAAAATTTTAAAATAAAAATAAAGAAACAGGAATTAAATGGGGCAAGAAATAAAGAACAGTGGCTTTTTAAAAGCTAAGATTCAAGTAATCAAATGACTTCATATTTCTGGACTCTATGGGACTTAGACATAATTACAGAGACAATGTCCCTGAAGATCACTGAATAATTATCTAATGATTATCAATATAATTATCCAATGGTCTTTAATGATACTGAAATCTCACGGGTGTGCTATTTTAGTAGCTCCTTGGCCCCAAGGCTCTATGCACACAATGTGTTCTAGCACATAACTGCTTATGTATCCTGAGATAGGATCTTATACATGTACACAGACATCTGTATCTCTGCTAATTTCACATCGATAGGTGCTAATGCTTCTTCCACATTTTAGAGAAGAGTAATTTAACAATAATGTTGCAATGATTAAATCAATAGCATATCAACATTTCCAGAGTTCACTGGCATCTGCTGATGTGCAGCACCATAAAGACTGTACTATCTTTTAATGCATATAGTAGTTAACTGAAGTATATTTAAGAGTTTTAAAAATATTTTCAATATTTAGCATTGAATTTTTATCACATGTGCTGTCATACTTTTACTTCATGTTCTGAAACAGAATGCCTCTATTTCCAGTGATTTAACAAAAGGGGATGCTCATATTAATTTGTATTACTAATCATATATGTCATTAGATCACTTAATATTATAACACACAAAAGTATCTCTTATATATCTTACCTTGGGGTTAATGGGCTAAGGGCAGCTGGTCCCCCTAATAAACTTCGACCAGTTTTTGGTTTATTCTGAACCTGTTTAGATAATATAGAAGTTCCTGTTCCAAGAGGGACAGTATCTGGTGAAATTACAGCTGAATCAATATAAGACACTGAGGAATCTGTATTCAAGGAATATTTTGAATTGGAAGATTCTAAATTCAGTCTGTTTAATTCCTGAAAGAGAAAATTTCTACCATGTTACCCATGATACATTATTACATAATCATTTTTTTTTAAGTTTTCATATATATATTTTGAACATTAGAGTAGATAAACTTACAATTGTGTCCTGGGGTGTTTCTGTAAGAACAGTCTCAGGCTGTCTATGAGATAAACTATGATTAGATACTAGTGTTGTACAAGAGTTGGGCAGACAGTTGCTAAAGTTCTGTATAGATGTTAATTTAAATGTTTGGTCAGGATCTGGCTTTTCACCTGTGAAGACCAAAAAAAAAAAAAAAAAAAAAAACAACAGACAAAAAACAAAAATAAGCCTGGAGTACCTGTTATAAACTCAGTGGCAAAGGCTTTCTAAACAATTTACCCTATAAAAAAAAAAAAAAAAAAAAAAAAAATGTGTATTTGATTCTAAGGCAGTGATGGTGAAACTTTTAGAGGAGGAGTACCCAAATTGCAACCCAAAACCCACTTATTCACTGCAAAGTGCCAACACTGCAATTAAATCTGAATACTGAGGTTTTAGTTTAGAAAAACAACTGTTACCCAATGCTTGCCTGGTGGAGGACTTGATTCATGCACCAACAGAGGCTTTGTGTGCCTGCTTTGGCACATGTACTACAGGCTCACCATCGTACTAAAGGATAATCTTTTTATTTTTTTATTTTTTAACTAGGTATAAGTAAAAATAAGCCTTAATTTGAGTCTTGAAATTCTACCCATTTTTTTTTTTTTTGGTACCGGAGATCAAACTCGGGACCTTGCGCTTCAGAGGCAGGCGGTATAACCACTGAGCTAAATCCCCAGCCCTTTGCCCATTTCTGCTAATCAATTTTTGTACATGCTCAAGCCATCTATTAACTTATGGTGAGTTTGACCTCAAGAGGTAAATTAAATTACAAGGATATTAATTTAAATATAATAAATTACAGGGAAACATAAATTTCTGTGTTTGTTTCAAAGCAGAAAACAACTAGATCTCACTGAAGTTTGAGAACTGAAATCCATTAAAGAGTGAAGCACTTCTGTGCACATAGACATGCTTTAAAATCCTAGAGCACATAGAGATATTCTCTCTACACACTATCTAGGTCTTACTCATCTATAAGTTTCTGCTCTGGATACTCCATTGATTTACTTAGAAATTATATTAATTTCTTATCCAGGAAGCAATTTTGGCTAGTACTATACACATTATAGAGCTCATTTTAGAGAGCACAACATATTTAAGGTAGGCTGGCTAAACAAAGAGGAGAAATTTAATTTTGGGGGTAGATTAATGGAAGAGGACATTACTCTTCACTAATATGATTCTAATTTATTTCTAATCCTTGATTTCAACCATCCTTTAGCTTTGTAAAAATATTTTTATTGCAATTTACATGAGTCTCCAGAAATTAACAAGGGAGGGGGGAAAAAAAAAAAAAGAAATAGGGAATCCTCCCCCTGACACCTCCCCAAACCTACCTATTTCACATAATGATTCAAAGGGAGACCAGAGGAAAGGATTTAAACTAAGGCTCTTTTGGTAACATTCTGATCCTTTGGCAAGCCGGTCTGTCTTGCTGCAAAGATAAACAATATGTTAAACAAGGTATAACTCCTAAAGCATTTTATTATGAAGACAATGTTTGATACAGAAAATTAAGTAAATTTTACATAAGTTCTGAGAGCACTCTTTTTTTTTTCTGAGAGTACTCTTTTCCCCCTCAGTACCTAGGACTGAATCCAGGGCTTGTGCATGCTAGGCAAGCACCCTACCACTGAGCTACATCCCCAGTCCTTCTACTTTCATTATGAGACAGCATCTTGCCACCCTGTCCAGGCTGGCTTTGAACTTGCAATCTTTCTGTTTCAGCTTCCTGAATGGCTGGGATTACAGGCATGTACAATTGCACCTGTCCTGAGAGCACCTGATACTTCCTTAAATTGTTGATTTCTCTTCATCATTTTCTGATCTCTATTAGAAAAGTTGAAGAGTCAAGGGAAAGCAAGTAAAATATGAATTGAAAGAAATACTAACAAACTCTCACTGCCTTCTTGATTATTTTTAATTTCTTGGCAGATACTACAGTTAATGAAGGAGGTATGGAAAACATTCAATTAGATCATCTTATTCCCTTTTTTTTGAGACAGGATCTCACTGTGTAGTTCAAGCTTGTCTTGTACTATGTTGAGCAGACTGGCCTTGAACTTGCAGTGATTCTGCCTCAGTCTCCCGGCTGCTGGGATTACCTGTGTGTACCACTGCACCCAGCCTTATTCTTAACTTTTGATATAACAACCCAGTGGTAATTCTGAAAGTTATTTAAAATGCTTTAAATATAACATATTCAAATTATCAGACTTTTTTGGTACTGGGGATTGAATTCAGGACCTTGTGCTTGTGAGGCAGGCACAGGCACCACTGAGCTAAATCCCCAACCCTAATTATCACATTTTTTAAAGGGCTGGGGATGTAGCTGAATAGCACAGCACCTGACTAACAAGTACAAGGCCCTAGGTTGGATCCCTAGGGCTCCTAAATAAACAATCACGGGCCAGGAATATAGCTCAATGGTGCTTTGCCTGCCTGGAAAGTTCAAATTCCTGAGTTCGATCTCCAGTACCACCAAAAACAAAAAAAATTTAGATTTCTTTTATAACAAAGTGGGAGTGATGGTGGCTTTTAATGAAAACGAAAGTTTGGACTTCTTTCTAATTGGGTGTGCAATGATTTGTATTGGGGAAAAAAAAAAGGAAAAAGTTTGCATTTAGAGTCTAGATAATAACCAAGGGAACATATGTACTTGGAACAGTTTGGGAAGTAGAATGACACTGCTGGCTCAAGAGCTTTTAAATAGGAGAGGAGTTTCTAATAAGACTCTTTGGAGCTTTCAGGTAATTACTTGATCTAAGGTTCTTTCAAATACTTTAATATTTGAAAAACATTAAGATATAGCAATTCATCTGAAATCTCTTTAAGGTTTTACAAAGTACCAGATTGCATGTAACCAACTTCTTTAAAAAAAAAAAAACTTGTAAAGTGAAACTATCAGTTAAAATATATAATCTAGTATGTTGATGTCAGTGTAATCTGAGAGAACTGTAGAGAAACTCCCTTGGGGAAGCAAATAGTTGTTCATCTTTTAAATTTTCAACAAAGTGGAAAATTTAAATAAGGTCATAAAAGTAAGAAGTTTGCTCTAGGAATTAAGATCAGTGGTAAAGCACTTGCCTAACATATGGGAGGCTCTGGTTTCAAAACTCAGCCCTGGAAATAAAAAACGAGAAGAAAACAAAGTGGGGGGGGGGAAAGAAGGGAAAGAGGAGAGAGGAGAGGAAGGGAAGGGAAGGGACTTTAGTTGAAGAATATCTAGCTTCTCATATCTGCCTAATTTAATCCAATTAAACACAAGGACAAAGGGAAGCAAGACAAGAGGGCAGACTTGGAAAATGCAAGTTTTGTCAATGTCTGTACCTAAAATAATGCAGGTGACTTTTCTTAAAGGAAACATGATTGCCACAAGACTAACTTAATCATCTACCAGGGATATCAGGGATAGAGATGTTAACAAAAGCAGGAAATGAAAACAAAGGTATAAAAAGGCTGTTTTATGAAAATAATAGGGTTAAAAGTAGCAAATCAATGGTTAAAAACTTTTAACATAAGGTTAGGTAAAGGAAAATATAGTACATTGAAATCTCAATGTTTGAGGATTATACTAAGCTTCAAACAGTTCAATGGCCACCTGTTCTATATTTTCTTCTTGTAATTCCAAAATAAAGACATTTCCTTTATCCTCAGTTCTCTTCTTTACAAAAATCTACTCTGCCAAAGGATACCTTTGATAATAAAGACAACTAAATCTACATACTTTCCTGACTTTGAACTTAACTTTCCTTTGCCTACTGGACAGTTTTATCTAGTTTTATTTCTTTAACTAAAGCTTCATATATTCAAAATTAAAATCATTTTTTTCTCCCCAAATCTGTTCGCATTTTTAAGAGCATCACTATTATTCTAAGTTCACAGACCCAGAAATCCTACTTGTACACGATTGACTCATACCTCTATACCTATCAGTGAGTGTTAGCAGAAACTAATTTTGTTTTAAATATGTTTTATGGGCTATTAGTCAAATCATATATAAACCAAATTTATTATAAAAATCAGCCTTCCTAGGGCTGTGAATGTAGCTTAGTGTTTCAATGATAGAGCGCTTGCATAAAGCCCTGGGTTCTATCCCTATCATCAAAAACAAAAACAAGCAGCTTTGCCAATTTATTAAAAGTTGAGAGAATTTTCCTTTTGCTAATTTTTAAAGAAAAATAAAAATATAATTTAAAACTAGAAAAGAGACTTTTCATTACAGAGGGTTACCTATTGTATTTATGGAATATTTTTCATTGAATAGTTTTATCGTTGAATAAATCAGGGTTTTTTGCTTGTTTTTTTTGTTTGTTTCAGGGTGGAGAGTTTTGAGACAGGGTCTCACTTTGTACTTCAGACTGGCCTTGAATTCACTATGTAGCCCAGGCTGGCCTCAAACTCACAGTGATCTTTCTGTCTCAGCTTCTCAAGTGCTGGGATCACAGGCATGCGCCATCATGCCCAGCCTGCAAATCAGTTTTCTGCCATTTAAATAATTCATACAGCCCACTCAAGGCACCTTTGAAAATTGTTAATAAAATTGTGTCGTGTTACATGTACAAGCAAAGCAAGGAGTCAGGGCTTCTTGGAAACAGAAAAGGGAAAGGGTACTATTAAAATGAGAAGGATCTAATTCCTAGCACTCAGAAAACATAATCAGCTGCAAGAGAAAACATGAGATGATAAATGGGCAGACAGTGGTCAGTACTAACAGAACAGAAGGTTAAATAACACAAATTAAAGAAATAAAGAGAAACATGAGGCATTAATTAGGGATCTATTGATAGTTTAGGTAAGAAACAGCACCACAATAGTGAAAATAAAGAGGAAACTTTAAACACAAGATAAAGGTACATAAATTAAGATTTGGTTGCTATTTGGCTATAACAGTCAAGGAAGAAGAATGAAAATTTTATCAGTTACAGATTTAACTCCCACCTCAATCAAGATACAAAACTATTTTAACATTCAGAAGAAAATCCTTCAGCTATCCCTTTATAGTTATATTCTCACTCTAACCCTAGCCTCTCAAAAAATCATTCATCAGTTCCTCAACACTGTAATCTTTTTATATAATGACATATAAATAAAATCACACAGAATGTAAACTTGTGGAGCTTTTTTTTTCCACTTGCCTTAATGTCCTTGTTATGCAAATCATTATACGGATCATTAATTCATTCCTCTTTATTGCAGAGGAATATGGAATAGTTTAGCCATTCACCCATTGAATTTAGGTTGTTTCTAGTTTGGGGCGTCACAAATAAAGCTGTTACGAACATTCACATGCAAGCATCACCCCAATCAAAATGTATGAGGGATCTTGTTGCTCTGTGTTCCACACTAGCACTTGGTATTGTCAATAGTTTTTATCTGAGCCATTCTAATAGATATGCAGTGGTATTGCAGTATGATTTTTATGTACTTTTCCTTAATGGCTAATGATCTGGTACGCCTTTTTATCTCCTTATTTGCAATTCATATAAACTTCTTTGATGAAGTGTCTATTCAAGTGTTTTGCCAATTTTCTTAGTTGTTTTTACTGAGTTCTTTATATATTCTAGATATAACATATGTTGTTTATGTGATTTACAATTATTTTCTGTTAGTCTGAGGCTTGTATTTTCATTTTCTTTGCAAAAAATGAGTTTTAATTTTGATAAAGTTAAATTAATCAAATTTTTCTTGCAGGTACTTCTTAGATACAATGTCTAAGAACTCTGGCCTAGTTTGATGTTTTATATTTAGATATATGAACCATTTAAGTTTTTAATAAAGTGCAAGGTTACATTACAGTTCATTTCTTTTGCCTATAGATGTCCAACAGCACCATCATTTTTTGTTGGAAAGGACAGTACTTTTTCATAGAATTTTTACTTTTGTCAAAAATCAGTTGACCATGAGACACATTTTCAATTCTGACCATACAACAATTCTTTTTTCTTTCTGCAGTAATGAGGATTGAACCCAGGGTCTCCTGCATGCCAGGCAAATGTGGTACCACTAAATTACATCCCCAGGTTGGGGTTGTATATTAATTCTTTAATTTTTTTGAGGAACTGTATTATTTTTCTGTATCACTAGGATGTTTTGATGTGCTAATATTGTGTTGAGAATTTTTGTGCCCGTATTTATAAGGAATACTGATCTATAATTTGGGTGGGTATAGTCTCTGATATTTATTAGTGCTGGATATCAAGCCCAGGACATTGCATATGCTAGGCAAGCACTCTGTCACTTAGTACACCGCAGGTCCTTTATAGTGTTTGCTTTTTTTCCCCCAAGACAGTCTCACTATGTAGCCCAGGCTGGCCTTGAACTCATCTCACTGCAATACTCCTGCCTCAGTCTCTAGAGTGCTGGGATTACAGGCATGCACCACCACATCCAGTTTTGGTCTTTGGTTTTTAAGTCAAGGTGATGCTGACCTCATAAAATTAATTCGGAGGTATTTTTTCGCATCTTATTTTCTGGAAAGGATATATACAATGGGGTAGAATTTTAACTATAGATTAGTATTTCTTTCATAATTTTAGAACTAGTCAGATTGTCTCATTTAGATTGCTATTTCTTGGGTAAGTTTTGTAATATGTGTTTTTTTTTTTTTTGCGACTGGGTGTGACTATAGTTCAGGCTGGTCTGGACCTCGCAGTAATTCTTCTGTCTCAGCCTCCTATGTGCCAGCAGATCTGGTAGTAATACGTGAGTTTTGAGGAATTAGTCCAGCTCATCTAAATTGTGAAATTCATGTGCATGGAGCCATCCTGAGGTTTCAGCACATAAATCCTTTTAATGTCTTCAAGGTAAGTGAAATTCTTTCAATATTAGTGTAAGTAATTGTGTTCTCGCCATTCAATTTTGGGGTTTTATCAATTTTCAAAAGAATCACAGCTTTCTTTTTTCAGTAACTTTTCTATACTATTTCTGTTTTCTATTTTACTGATTTCTACTCTTTGTTCTTTGCTTTGCTTTGCTTGAGTTTATTTTGGATTTCTTTATCTAGTTTCTTTTGGTAGGATCCTGGGTTACTGGTTTGAGACTGTTCTTTGATAATACAAGAGATACAGTGCTATAAATTTTCCTCTAAGATACCTTTAACTACATCAAAGTTTTTGTTTTGCGACATGGTCTCACTCTGTAATCCAAGATGGTCTTGAATTGGTAAATTTCCTACCTCAGTTCCCAAGTGCTAGGATTATGTGCCACCACAACTGGCCGACACAATTTCTAACATGCTGTATTATTATTTTCAGTATTATCATTATATTATATATACGGAAAATCTTTTCTGTGAAGGACTGGGGATGTAGCTCAGTGGCGCTGCACCTGCCTGGCAAGCACAAGATTCAAGAGTTCAATCCCCAGTACCAGGAAAAAAAAAAAATCCCGTGAAGTTTTCTTTCTTTTTTTTTTTTTTTTTTTCCAATTTTTTTTTTTTGTACCAGGGTTTGAACTTGGGTCCTTGTACTTGCGAGGCAGGCAGCAGAACCACTGAGCTAACTCTACAGCCCCTGTGAAGCTTTCTTTTTGACCCATAAATTATCTAGAAGTGTATTTAATTTCCAGGTGTTTACCTTCCTGTTCATGTATGGCTCTTTAATCTAATCCAACTCTTTTAACAGAAGAATAATATTATAACGTCATTTCAGTGGTATAATAGTAAAATATGGTGCTTTTAAACAATTATTTCTACAATACTTTCCCCTTATTAAAATTTTGACTCCTAGTTGGGGATTTAGCTCAGTGGTTCTGCCGCCTGCCTTGCAAGCACAAGGACCCAAGTTCGATACCTGGTAACAAAAAAAACCAAACAAAAAAATTTTTGACTTCTATCCTAAATCTACCACCTCCGCTTATATAACTTATAGTCCTCAATTATCTCCTTTCTTTCTGAAGTTGTTCTACAGATAAAAGATATCAATTTTTTTCTTTCTTTTTTGGGAACTGAACTGGGAATTGAGCCCACAGGCACTCAACCACTAAATTACATCCCAGTCCTTTTTATTTTACTTTTTAATTTTGAGACAGGGTGTCACTAAATTACACAAGGTAGCCTCAAATTTTCAGCCTCCTGCCATAGGCCACTGAGTAGGTGGGATTATAGATAATGCGCCATGGCATCCAACAAAGATACTCTCTTCACCCAAAATAAAAAATGAACATTATATGCCCTCAATTATTAGGCAGTGCTGTGATAGCTATTATCACTAAAGCTAAGTGGAGATTAAAAAATGGGATTGATATCTTTACTATTTAACTGGTTTAACAATAAAAAGGTCATGGAATCAGAGGACCTGTACCACTTAGTCAAGTTTTATTTGATAACACAGATTAAAATAGGTTTTTAAAAGATAAAATATTCTCATATAAGAAATTCTTTTTTGGTAGTTTGAATCACTTTACTTACCAATATACATGTCCCAACAATGAAAGAGTAAAACAGGCTGAATCACCAAACTCAGTAACAATATCATCATGGCTTTTCTGCTTATTAAACACTCCACCAGATAAGATCTGTTCCCCTTCTGCAAGCCTTTAAAACATAAATTTGCAGATTAAACAAAATCTAATACAAAAAGCACCACATGAAGACATCCTTTATTACAACTAGGGAGACAAAGTAAATCCACAATAGTTTTACAACAGTGATAAATGTGCTTAGAATCATTAGGGAAGTAGCAAAACTTGACTTTTGTCTTTAAAAAGATAAGTCAGTCATGCCGAGCGTGGTGGCGCACACCTGTAATCCCAGTACTTGGGAGGCTGAGGCAGGAGGATCACTGTGAGTTTGAGACCAGCCTGGGCTATATAGTGAGTTCCAGGTCAGTCTCAACTACATAGTGAGACCCTGATGCAAAAAGCAAAAAGTAAATAAATAAATAAAATAAAAAGTTTTTAGTTTCCAAATGCCTGAGCAACACATTCACTATTTATGACAAAAGAATTAGAAGATGATCAATTATATTGGGGGAAAATGTGGCTCTTTACCTAATATGTGTGTGTGATGCTCCTTAGCTCTACCAATCCTTGAAATACAAATGTATAAGCCAATTAAACAAGACTAACATATTTTAATTAAAAATTAAACTGCATACTTGACAATCTGTCAAGATTTATGAATGATACTTGAATAGCATTCATTTTTGTCAATTGTTTTTTGATATAAAAAAAATCAAACATTTCCCAAAAGAAAAATATTGCCTGATTTCACTATGCATTTTTAGCCATCAGAGTGCTGATGGTTTCAGTTTTAAATTTTTGATTAAAAATAAAATCATCATGTAGAAAACCTTAAGTATAGAGAATATCCTGAAGATGTCCTTTTACTGTCAAGGTAATCTGTATTTATTTTACCCCAGAAAGGCTTTAAAAGCATATAACTACTTAGGCTAGGCATGCAGCTCAATGGTAGAACATACCATTGTGCAAGGTCCTAGATTCTAATCCTTAGCATTACATTTGTGTATAAATGCGCTAAAAATGTCAATGTAAAAATCAGCTTATGAGAGTAACTGGAAAGATAAGAAAACATATTTTTAAGAATCCAACATTAAAATCTTTGGAATTTAAAATAATCTAGTAGCAAATGTCTTAGAAATCTCACAAATATTTTAACTAGAATTAATTAAAAGGTCATCAGTCACAACAAATAATATAGTGATTTGTAAGTATATGAGACTTATTTGTATTCTCCAATGGTGAACCTCCAAACAAAATACATAGAGGATTTTACAAATTTTTATTTAGTCACTTTTACCAGTAATCTATCTTTTACAAGGCAGAACAATTTAACAGAATATGAATATATCTTCAGCTACCTCTTTGGAATAGGATAGCTGATGTGGTTTCACTGCTATAGGCAAAAAAACTGCTCTTTTAACATTATCCTTGAATGAAAGGCCAAACTTTTTCAAACTGGTTTAACACTAAAGGCAAATGATTTGTAATCATTCTGAAACAACTAAGAATTATTTATAATTTAAACTTCTCCAGAGTTAAATTCTGTTATTTATCACTGTAACAAAAATAATGCTATAGGCTGCAGGGTAAACATTTCAAATGTTAGAGAAATAGACAAATTTCTACTACCTAAAAAGGAGGGACGTCAATCTGAGTTTAATCTGTCAGAAAAATTTCATCCAAAATTCTACCATGTAAGTAGAACAAAATTACCCAGAGAAGATTTTAATACTTACTTGCTGAGATCAACACAACATTTTGCAAGCAGGTATTTACATTGTGGTGTAGTACAACTGTGACCTTTCAAGAGTCTATACGCTTTGTATGCCTTTCCTGAGCGGTAATAACAGGTTGCCAATAAAAACAACGCTTCTTCTGAGTGTACTAAGAACAGGTATTAAAAAAGAAGAAGAAAATGAAATTGGCTACTGTTCGGCACATTGGACGATAATCAGTTTATCTGACAATAAAGTTTAGCAATGAAAAATTAGACATGCTATTTAATCCAAAATAATCATTATTAATTTAAATGTGAATTGTAAAGAAGTGTGTTTCTGATAGAAAAGTTCTCTACTCCTAAATATCTGCTACAAGGAACCAAGGACATAATACAATGAAGACAACCATGGTATTCTATGTAAACCTTTAAGAAAAGCAAACACACACACACACACACACACCCTCTACCTTTTCTTTTTTCTTTTTTTTTTTTTTTGGTACCGGGGATTGAACTCAGGTCCTTGCGCTTGCAAGGCAGGCCACTGAACCGCTGAGCTAAATCCCCGGCCCTCCTCTACCTTTTAAACAAACTATCAGTAAAGCAGTATCTTGTTCTTAGAATTTTTCTAATATACCCTCTGGGATTACAGAAATCAGATTTCACTAGAGAGAAAAACTGAGGATAAGCAAAACTAATTAGTAATTTGAAACAATTCCTCATTAAAAAGATCAAAGTTTCTAATACCATATGCACACACACTAAATTATACTCAAGATGAAAAAATTTTCTCAATTATGAGTATAGACACCATTTTAACATTCAGTTGATATTTACAGTAATTGTTCTCCAATGACAACAGCAGAGTCATTCAACTATCTGTGCCCTATTTTTTACATCAGAAAATATTCCCTCCTTTCTTAATGAAATGTGGCATATCTTCTTCCCCATTTACCCTGTATGGCTTCCAAACCAACTATCACGTCACTTCTATCTTCACAATCTCCTAACCATGCTAGATGAGAGTCTACAGAGGTAACAACAATGAAAACTGAGAAAAAGAATAAATTACAAATCTGTGCTTTTTTGTAATAATGCCACAGAGTTGATCAATATTCTAAGCCAGTGGTTTTTCAAGTGTGGTCCCCTACACCAGAGACAGTATAACTTGGAAATGTTAGAAATGAAAATTCTCATGCTGTCCTTCAGACCCCTAAGTCAGTAATTTTGGGAGTGGGGACCAGTAATATTTAACAAATTCTTCAGGTGATTCTAGAGCATATTAAAGTTTGAAAACTACCACTCTACCGTATAAGACAAACTTGCCACATTTTCCTGAAAAGTTAACTTCATTCCAAGATTTGGGATTTTAAAAATTGAAATTTTACTCTTGTAAAGTTTTTGTCATATATTTATTCAAACAAAACCCAATAGATTCCTTCTGTTGCTCATCTTACAATTTCCCATGAAATACTAGTGCAAAAAATGATATGCAGCAAATAAGAAATTCTGGTACATTAATAGCATGTGTAGTAGTATTAGTGCTAAAGTACAGCAAAATGACAGATTAGCTCTACTGCATTAGGAACAGATTATTAATTTTAGTGAACTATAATGCTAATTTCATGAGTTAGGAGTGATTTCTTCTAGATTTTACAAATGGCTAGTTTTCTGCTGCCTTATAAGTAAAAATTTTAAAAGCTGATTATATCGATAAACAAATATTTCTAAAAACCAGTTTAACATTCAGCCACCATAATGCTTTGCTAACATGTATATACTTGTAGGTTCAAATTTAACCTCCCCTCTTCAATCCTCCTTCCAATGGAGCTCTTTTTCTTAACAGCTGAGTAGGCCTTAAAAGTGGAAAAGTTTTTTGAATGTAGGTCCAAATAATTAAGAGGGGTTTAATCTTGCATCCTCTAGATATATTTCTATTAAATAAGAATGTGAATTAGTCTTTCAATGTTTTTAAGGTGTCTAGACAGTCCTTCTTTGTGATGCCCTATATAATCTAAATTGAGAACCCTTTTAATTGGAGTGAGATTTAATTTTTTTTTTTTTTTGCAATAATGAGAATTAAATCCAGGAAACACTGAGCCACTTCACTCCCTTCATTGAGACAAGGCCTTGAACTTACTATATAGCCCAAGTTTGTTGACATCAAACTCTAAACTGGCCTTAAACTCACAATCCTCTGCCTCAACCTTCCAGAATGCTGGGATTACCAGCACAGCCAACACGGCCAGTTTATCTTTTAGGTTCTTAGATCAATTACAGTAGTCCCTCTTATCTATGGATGATATATTACATTCTAAAACCATCAAAAACAATGCTGATCCCTATGTACACAGGTTGAATATGCCTTATCCAAAATGCTGGTTTAAGATTTGTGTTTTTTTGGATTTTTGAAAATGTGCATAATTTTATGCACTGAACATCCCTAATATGAAAACTCCTTATTTTCCAAAACCTGAAACTTTTTGAGTGTCCTAAAACTGAGAGATAGAAAGAGAATAAGCATCATACATAGTAACAATAATGAATAAATACATACATACATACCTTGAAAAGCCACTGTGTTAGGATAAGCTAGGGGAGGGAGAGAACTTGAAAAGGGTTTCCTGTGTGCCAGAAACTACAGTGGAGTATTTCTACATATTACTGCAGGTAGTCCTTCAAACTATCTTGTTAAATAGGTACTGTTCTTGTTTGATAAGAAAAATTAGGCTCAGAATAACTTTTTGCTTAAGATCAAATAGCTAATGAATATGAGTTCAGATTCTCTCTTAGTCCATTCTGCTATTCTTTCTTTCTTATCACAGTCTCAGGCAGGCTATGAATCTCTTAGGAGAAACACAAATGGGTGACAAGGAATTAGTGATAGAAAAATTATTTCAGGGCCAGGGATTTAGCTCAGCGGTTCGGTGGTCTGTCTTGCAAGAGCAAGGACCCGAGTTCAATCCCCGGTACCAAAAAAAAAAGAAAAATTATTCCAAGAATTTAACTTACAGGTGCCAGGGATTTAGCTCAGTGCCTCGCCAAGTGCAAGGTCCCGAGTTCAAACTCCGGTACCAAAAAAAAAGAAAAAGAATTTAACCTACAGATCACACTCTTTAGCCTGCTAGATGTTTTCCTCAAAACACAAGAGTTATCACCAGTGACACAGGAGGCTACTGAGCAAAGGGGCAAAGAGGTTACACTTAGTCTATTAACTCTGATCAACTGAATCAACTGAATACTACTGACAAAAATTTTGAGGTTGATTCAGCAGAAATGAGAAGTGTGATGAGTTAGTGATGCCTCCTACAGTGGCAAATCAGGTGGCAGGTATTTATTACGGTAAAATGTAATCTAACAGATTTATTGTCTGTGGGCACTGTTCTCAGTTATCTATAAAATGGCAATAGAAATGTCTATTTTGTAGGATTATTAAAAATTAAGAAAATAATCATCTAGTATATAGTAAGAAATCAATAAATGGTAGAATATTGTCATCATTACTGAGCTAGGCTAATATATGTTCTTACTTCATTAAAACTAAAAATTTCCCTCTCAGAAATATAGTTAATGAACTGAATGTGGTGGCACACAACTGTATTCCCCACACTCCAGAGGCAGAGGCAGGAGGATTACCATGAGTTTGAAGCCAGCCTGGGCCACAGTGAATTCAAGGCCAGCCTGAATTAAATAGCAATATACTGATTCAAAAAACAAACAAACAAAATATAAAGCGGTGAGGTCCTATACTGAGAGATAGTAATATACCGAGCAATTTTCTAAATAGCATGCATTCTAACAGGCTCAGGCAGAATGTGAATTAAACAGTTTTATGTGGACTAATTCTGCCACTAAATTTATTAGAAGAAGCTGAGCATGGTGGCTCACACTTGTAATCCTAACACTTGTGAGGCTGAGGCAGGAGGATCACCATGAGTTGAGGCCAGCCTGGGCTACACAGTGAGACACTATCTCAAAACAAATACCCAAATTCTATGAAAGTACTTAACCATTTTAATTCTAAATGCATAATGCAATTTTTAGGAGGTTGAATCTAATAAAATAGAACCAACCTCCCTGCCTCCACTCCCTCTTTCTTTATGGGTGAAGATCAAATCTAGGGCCTTGTGAGTATTCTAGGCAAGGACTGAAGCACTGAGCTACACCCCTAGCCCTGACTATTTTGTAAGCAAATTTTAAAAATTAAGACTAGATTCATTAAGACAATAGAACATCGGGTTGCCTAGTCATAAATGAAAATATATTTAAATAAATTATGATATACCTTGCTTTTGCATAGTGGAGTGGAGTAGGGTAATCTATTATATTTTCTTTTGAAGCCACTCTCTTCTCACCCTTTTAAATCATTTCATTGGGACCTCAAACCCCTGCTGCAAGGATCTTCTCCACTCTTCTCACTAACTCCAACTGTCTCCAGGACTCCATCAAAGGGATGCTTATTTCCTTATATGCCTCAGAATTGCCTGCATGGTAATCCTGATGAAGGTATGGTTCATTTCTGCTTTGCTTCTCAATGTAATTTCAACATCACTTCTTGTCCTTTTGTGAAATTTCTCGCTTGTGAGGTTCATACCTTTTCTTCATAACTCTTCTCATCAAACTCATAGCACTAAGACTTCTACACCTGATTCATGGTCTTCCTCTTCTAAATTACTTTCACACATCTCCCAAATCAGCAATATCTGGAATTTGGTACCATCTCTCTATCCTCTCTTAATTACCAGCCCCTCTTCCTCTGCCTCAACTTTTCTTGACTATATCCTGTCTATATTCTCATCTCTTGTCCTTTTGTGAAGCATGTCTAGTAAACTAATTATCTACATTCTTAATGTTTGCAGTTGGGTTACTAAGCACTTACTACTGGACGAAGATCATACCACTGAGAAGAAAGGTTCTGGCATCAATACCAAAATACCTAAAAAATAAACCCTGTGTACAAGCAGTAAAAATAAAAATTCTTGGCAAATAGTCCAAAGGAAGCCTACACAAAAAGTAGAAAAACTGCATTAAACAAACACATGAATAAAAATAAGGTAATAATGTTTTTGGGGAAAAAAAAATCTTTTTAATACTTCCTTAAGATGTCAATACTTCCTGAATGAATTTAGACTCACATGGCTATAAGCCAACACTGATTACAACCTTTGTGCAATTTCAAAACAGTAATAAAATGCACATAAATAAGAATATTTTTTAAAAAGCCTAAAGATTTATAATTTATAATCTTATAATGTTGGTGATACCCCAGATTATCATACCTTTCTCTGCTGGATTAATAGCTAAACAAAAGATAATCTGTTATAGAACTGATCATAACTTTAACTTGTAAATTCAATTTTAAAAGTATAAACTCAAAGAAATGACTGGAGGGGGAAAAAGCCACATACAATTACCTATATTACCATTGTAATTTAATGACAAACAAAATACGCATTATCAGAATAATGTTTGTTGAGCATTTATACCATGCCAGATGGCTGTATCAAGTGTTTTAAATATATTATCTCATTTTTCAATTCTATGACAGATTATTTGTATTTTATAAATGAAAAAATCTGGAATGCTCAGACATCAAATAACTTGCTTAAGGTTATACAAATGTGTATTTAAGTGACAGAGTTAGGATTTGTAGCCTAGTTATAGACTCTAAATCTATAAAGTTAGCTTCAGAATATAAACTGTTCTAATGAAAGACAAACCCAGGAAGAAAACCCTAAAGATTAGAAAAGGATTAAGAAAATCATAGTCTATAAACCCAAGTCAGCTCTATAGTTATTAAATTTAACATGAAGAAACTTGTTTTTAACAGATACAAGGTAATATTTTTACAGACTAGTGTCAATTATAAAGAAAAAACAAAAAAGTGACACTTAGATTCCTGGTAGTCAAACAAATTAATAAGATTCCATATATTTTATTCATTTATGGCTCTATACAAATGAATAGTTGCAAACCTTCTGCATATAGTCGTTCAGCGAGGAAAACTGCATCTCGGTAAGCATAGTGGTTTAGTGCTTGCCATATAGCAGCCTGTAAATGGAAGGAAAAAAAAACATGTAACTATACTTACATACAGAGTTTCAAAGTTACTCTTAGCATAGTACAGAGCATTAAACATAATACTGAAGCTAATATCTCTAATTTAAGTGATAAACCCCACAGAGCAAACTCCACAGGACGTTAGATAAGACTCTTCAAGTATGTCTCCTAACATACCTGCATTTCTCAACAGTGCATGGACTTCAGGCTTCTGTGCCTTTGTACCTCCTTTTCCTTCATCAAGGAATGTTGCTGACTCCCTCAGCAATCTCCCCCAATAAATTGCTCATCTCTAAGGATCTAGCTTAACTACATGTACTCCATAAAGCTTTCTTGGTTCTTCTTTAGCCATTTCTATTAACACACTTTTAGTAAAACATTCACACTATATTACAGTCATTTGCTTACAGGTGTGCCTACCCAACTAAACTGCAGGTTTTAACAGCAGTAGCTCTCAACCACTTTATATGACACACATGAAAGAGATGTTCAAATTATGTCATCCTCCCACAAAAACTTCCACACCTGTTACTTTTAAGTGCTACCCAATTCTCACCACGCAAGGAAGCATGTTAAAATAGGGCTAACCTTTAATCTATTTGGATTAAGTTTTTGTTTTTAGAGTTATAAAATATAACATATAAGAGATATAAAAGCATTTTAAGTTAATAAGAACCAGAAAGCCTCTAGACCCATGGACTAACCACCTACCTCTACCCCAAGAAATAAATTATCACTATCTTCAAAGCCCCTATGGGTTCTTCTCCCTTATGTGAATAACATAACCTTTTCCTGCCCTAGAGGCAACTACTATCCTTAGCTTTGTTGCCTTTTCTTTCAGTAGTTTTCATAATTTTATACAGATATGTATCATCCCTAAGCATTATAACATTTAGTTTTCTAACTTTTTTTTTTTTTTGCAGTATTAGGGATGGAATTCAGTGCCCTTTGCACTGAGCTACATCTGTAACCCTTCCTTTAATTATTATTTTTTATTTTGTGATATGGTTTTGCTAGGTCCCTAAATTGCCCAAGCTGGGCTCCAAAATACAATCTTTGTGTATGAGTTTCTCAGTTCTGGGATTACAAGTGTGTGTCATTACACCTGATTAGTTTTCCAACTAAAGAAATCCTATTACATATATTCTGCTATGACTTACTTTAAAAACCCCTATATACAGTTTTTAAAATTCACAGAGCTTGGGATTTAGCTCAGTGGTTCTGCCACCTGCCTTGCAAGCACAAGGTCCCGAGTTCGATTTCGGGAGCAAAAGAAAAAAGAAAAAGAAAGGAAATTCATGCTTGATGATGTGTGTAGGTGTAGTTCATTTAATTTTATTGCTGAATAAATAATATTTCAATTGTATAAATATACCAAAATATAGTTTATGTATTTTACAGTATAAAGACACCTGGGTTATTTCCAAAGGCTTTATTTTTAAACAATTATAATAATGCTGTAACAAACACTTGGAGTACATCTTTACGAATCTTTCCAGCCCTGGCGTGGTGGTATATTCCTATAAACCCAGAACACTGGGAGACTGAGTAAAGAGAGGAGAACTGAAAGCTAAAACCCACCCTGGGAAATTTAGCAGTATCTTATTTTAAAATAAAAAATAAAGAGCTGCGGCTCCAGCTCAGTGCAAAGGCTGGAGGTACAATCTAGGATGCCACAAAAACAAAAACAGAAACCACCAAAAACAACAAAAAACTCCAAATGAAGATGCAGAATACCATTATAATTAGGAATGAAATTACTGGGTTTTCAATTATGTTTATCTTTACTAGGTAATGTCAAATCATTAAAAAAAAATCATTAGCTTAATTTGCATTTCAACTAACAATGTAAATTCCTGTTATTCCATAGTCTTGCCTTTACTGTGTATTGTCAAACTTAAAACTTTTTACTGGTCCGATGGAGTAAGAGCCTCCAATTAAAAAAAAAAAAAAATTCACCAGGCTGACATACTAGTCAAGCTCTCTACCATTGAGCTACATCTCTAGGATGGTAATAAAAGATATCTCATGGGCTGGGGATCTAGCTCAGTGGTGCTGCCACCTGCCTCGCAAGGGCAAGGTCCTGAGTTCAAGCTCTAGTACAAAAACAAAAACAAAAACAAAAACCTCACAACTCAACAACAATGTGATTTTCTAATTTTTAGCATGTACACCAGTTCATAATCTGTTGAATGACTTAATAAATAAGGGTTACAAGGAAACCAGTAAAAATCTGGTTGCCCACCACTAGGTAATATTATGACAGTACAACTAGATTACATTAAAAGAGTGGTAGAGTACTTGCCTAGCATGTATGAGGCCCTGGGTCAGATTCCCAGCACTGAAAAAAAAAGTGATTAATATGTCTCGGATATAGTAAAGGCTCAATTTTCTTGAACAAACAAATATTTAGTAACATTGAACATTACTAATTATAATTTTTAAAACAAAAACTTTTAATAGTATTCTGTGATTTAGCCTTACTCCCTCAAGAAAGAACAGTAATGAATTTAGTTTGGAATTTCCAAAGCCTCTGCTTTAATCTTATATTTTTATACAGCTTAAATTTTATGAAGCCTCAAAGATGTCCGATTTGACCATTCTCATACTAACAAAAGGAGGAATATGAATTTAAACTTATTTGCAAGTAAACTATAATAAGATAGGCAGTATTTTTTCTGCTCCAATGTTAGTGTTCTTAACCTAATCATTTCCTGTTGCTTCAAAGAACAACCTAAATCTTTGCTGTTCACTCTAGTAGTCCACAGAGCAGCAATCCTGAACTACCTGGAACCTTTCCAGGGATGTAGAATCTCAAATCACACCCTAGATCTACTAAATATTGAATTTACACTTTTAACTAGTTCCCTTACTGACAGATATTAAGATACAATGTATATCAATGATACAAATTAAAATATAAAATAACAAATACAATAACAATAATATAATTTTGAAAAGAAATGATCTAAAACAACCACGTCCTTTCATTTGCCTGGGCTGCAGTGAGCAAAGAGAAATTTTCTTGTTCCACATATATATAGTTAATATACATATAAAACAAAACTTTCTTTATGTGTTTGTTATTATAACATTAAAAATAAAAAAAGGACAAGTGGCCTTTGGGCTATTAATTAGACATGGCTGAATTCTAAAAACTTTATTCTAATTAACAATTTCCTTGCTCAACAGTATCTCCAAAACCAAGAGGTTGTCTCACCCAATGCTAATCCAAGATGATACGAGCAAAGTAACTTCTTAGTTCTCCAAGCCGTGTGCCTTTTTACTTTGTTTGGTAGGGAGACTGAACCCAGGACCTCAATAGTGCTAGGTAAACCCTCTACCACTAAGCTATACATCCTTGGCCCCAAGTGTTTTTTTTTTTTTTTTTTGGTACCAGGGATTGAACTGGGGTCCTTGCGCTTGCAAGGCAGGCCTCCGAACCGCTGAGCTAAATCACCAGCCCCAAGTGTTTTTTGTTTTTTTTTTTTTAAAGCAAAAATATAAGGACTGGAGTTGGGTTAATGGTAGAGAGCTAACAGCATGCTCAAGGCCCTGAATTCCATTCCTAGCACACACAAACAAAAACTTATACATACATACATGCATGCAAGCTTGAATCACTCAAGTTCCAAGGCTTCTTGTAGGTCTTCATGTATCTTCTTGGTCTTTTTCATTTTGGTTTTATTTGAGACAGGGTCTCCCTAAGTACCTCAGGATGGCCTTGAACTCATCATGTAGTTTAGTCTGGCTTTGAATTCATAGCAATCCTCCTGCCTCAGCCTCCTGAGTTCTGGGATTACAGGTGTGTGCCACCATGCCCAGCTTCTTCTTGGTCTTAAGCATAGCCTTCATATCAGTGGAAATTAATCAATTTCCTCTCCTATCAATTCTCCCAAATTAGATGGGCTACATACAAATCTTTCTTCAGTTTGAAATTTAATATTAGCTTCTATTCCATTTTCCTCCAGTATTTTTACAAGGAACTGGCATAGCCAGTAATGTATTATATACACAACTGTGTACATAAAAACATGAGTTTCTAAACTATTCTAAATCACAGAAACCCTAGAATTTCCAGATACTTAAGGACTCTGTACTAAAGATAATTTGTTACCAAAAAGGCTGATTTATCCCAACAGCCCCACAATTCCTAGAAGACCAAAGAGTTCAAATAATTGTAATTTCACCATATTTCAGTTTCTGCCAGCAGGTATATATACTTGTTCTAGAATACCTCCATACAAATCAATCCCATAATGATCCCCAATCTCACTGAAAGGAGTATTTACAATACTGAAATAAACCACACTCCAAAGGACTTGTCAGCTCTAGTACTTGAGGAATAAAGATAGGATGGGGGGACCCCCAAGCATAAAAACCCAGAAGGCTATTAAATACAATTAGTGCCTCTTAGGAAAGTTTGTTAGATTATAGTAAGAATCTTCCCCTATTAAAGCCACTTAAATTTTAAAAAGTACCAAATATAAGTGGTGCTGGGGGGTGGTGTGGGAAAAAAGAAGAGAGACAAGGTATCATATACAGGTGAAAATTTCCTATGATGAGTGTTATCATTATGTATCTCTAAAATGTTGCCAATAAATGTTTTGTTTCAAAAGAACAACAACAACAACAAAAAACAAAAACAAGAAAAGGACTGGGATGCTGAGGAAGGAGGATCGCTGTGAGTTCAAGACCAGCCTGAGCTACACAGTGAGTTCCAGGTCAGTCTCACTACATAGTGAGACCCTGTCTCAAAAAACAAAAAACAAAACAAAACAAAAAAAAACCAGACTGGGGATTTAGCCCAGTGGTGCCACTGCCTGCCTTGCAAGTTCAAGGTCCTGAATTCAATCTCTGGTACCAAAAAAACCCCAAAACACAGTAAGTGGTGCTGATACAGCCAGAACCCCCAATAAAATCTATCATATTTGCTGCTGATAAATTCTTCCACATACCGCTGACCAAGTATTTCGCTTTGATTTTGATTT